TAACATCACTTCAACAATTTGAAAACGTATAACTTTGCAGATTCAGGAAAATATACATTAATGTGTTGTGGGTTAAGATACTAGTCAGTTGATGGTGTCAGTTCATAACCCAGCCATATACTGATTAAGTAAAATGTTCCACACTTTTACCAGCTTTACAAAATATGATCTTTACTTGTAACTTCTACTCTGATATTGCTTCTTTTACTGAAGTCACAGGTCTGAGTACTTCTCCTTTGGGGAACAGAAATAAAGAGAGGGAAAACAATAAATAGATTACAATTTGAAAGAAGTACTATATGTAATGTGTGAAAAGTAAAGTATATTAATACAATTTGCATTATAATATGATGAGATATGACATGGGTGCTTTGGATGGATAATGCATCAATTATTCTTATTAATCATCAGAATGGAATTGATTCACAGTCTCACATAATCACCAGTTGTAATCACACTTTTCTGTCTTCATCTCCTCTGCTCCTACTTGTCCTCTGAAGTCTATCATTACCAGTTCAGGATCCAGTTTGTCAACCAGATGGAGAGGATGGAGCCCTCTCTCCGCCTCTTCATCACCGGAACGCAGGAGGAGAGTGGAAACCTCCGTATCTCCTTGTGAGTTCCTGTACCGACCTCCCATCGGACTTACATTGCATCATATCGATGCTCAGTGAACCCTGAACTCTCGGATACATGCAAAATGCAGATGGGCTCTCAACACCATAGCGATAAAAAGCGAGCCCCTGCATGAAAGAGAGCTAGAAATGGGGACGATAGATTAAATTATTTACTTGAGACACTATTCCCTGACAAGTGTGTGATCCCTTGTATTCTGTGTATCAAAGAGTGTCTTTGCTTTGTTGTGAAGAAACGTGACGGCCTTTTGCAGGATGTTCTCTGCTATAATCATCTTTCTCTCTCTTTACTTTCCACTTCAGCAACGAAAAGATCTCGGGTAATAAGACCTACACCTTCCTGATCACCCTGGACCGAGACTTGGGTGATCTGATGCTGCTCAGATTGCACTGGGAGCGACCGGCCCTGTGGAAGAACGTGTGGAGCCGGATGCAGACCATCATGCCCTGGGGCGGCCGAGAGGGAAAACCACTGCTGACTGTGAAAAAGATCAGCATCAAATCTGGCGAGACGCAGAAAAGGTAAAAGTCCTCTTCACTGTAAATTACAGATCTTCAAATCTTATTGCACAAATTCCTTTTTCTTTCCACACAGAAACATGAAAACTATGCACACTTGCAATGAAGATTGTTGAAGCGTCACATTTAACATCACTTTGATTTGCGTCAAGTGATCAAAAAGTTTTTATGTAATTTTGAAACTTAATGTCATTTTACAGTGTAACATTAAGATGTAAGCAGCATTTTAAATGTAACCTGCTGGTAGTTTAGAGCATCAGCTTCTTTGTTATGTGCAAAGTGCAGAGAGAGTGTGAGGTCAAGAAAATCAAACATGTCGCACAACCCTCCAACAACATACAACACACTATGCTTTATTACACAATGTGGTCAGGTTGTTGGACTAACGGTGGTGGTATAGACATATAACCAAACAAGTATCCAGACTACAAACACCACAATGCAAGAAAAATCACAGCAAAAGTTACTTATTAAATGTGGGGTAGT